TTAGGGAGCTGGAGATGGAACCCAGGGCCTCACCCACGCTGGGCAAGTGCTCTGACCACTGAGCGACACCCAAGGAGCTGGGGAGACAGATGCACCACCGCGCCTGGCAGAGTGGGACCTCCTCAAGGAAACACAGGCTGGGGATTCTGTGCCATCTTGGGAACTCTCTGAAAGGTGAGCAAGGATCTGCCCACCGGCGGAAATACAGCAAAAAAGGGCATGTGAGTTCCAGAGGATTCTAAATGGGAAACCACAACCTCAAGTGCACAAATTTTAAACCACGTGTGCAAAAACCACCTAGGGCTGAGTCTCCTTGTTGGCGGTGGTTCTGTTCTATGTGCACTCCGGGGCGGACTGGCGCACCCCGGGACACTGGATTGGCAAATACTGAGCCATTTTCCCAGGAAAAATACAAAGTATGATTTCCTCCAAGCTGCTTGCAAGGCTTTCATCAACAGATCACTATATAACCTTGCTTTGTGGGTTTTTTCCTGTTGAAAGACACTTTATTTCACATACATTGTTTCAAGAACATGGAGCTCACAGCCAGCAGAACTACCGCTAGCTCTTGTGCCTGAATGAAACGTCTTTTTTTTTTTTTTTTTTGGTACCAGGGACTGAACCCAGGGGCGCTTAACCACTGAGCCACATCCCCAACCCTTTTTAAATTTTATTTTGAGACAGGGTCTTGTACAGACCCACAGCACAAGGGTTGAAGGAAGGCAGGAGAGGATCGCCTCCTTTGTCCTCAGCTTCAAAATTCTTAAATGACCACAAATGTGTCACGAGCATTCACTTGAGGGTTACAAAAAAGGTTTAGCAAGTAGACAACTTAACAGAGCCTGGGAGTCCAGGGTCAAAATTTAGTTTTAAGAATCTATTCATTCAAATGTAAGATTTTTTTTTTTTAAGTCTAGAGCAAATTATAGGATGGAGAACAGATGGGTGGTTGCAGGGGCTGGGTGGGTGGGGTCATGATAAGGGTGGCATCAGGACACCTGAGAAGCAGAGAGGCTACCCTGCATCTCGACTATAGGAGTGGCCACACACCTTCATCAATGTATAAAGGTATACACCAAAGTCAGTTTCCTGTATGATGATTTAAAAATAAATATTTTCAAAGGTTAAAAGGATACACACTAATCCCATTTACCTGCCAGGTCAGGAATGGATGGTTTGGAGGACCAAGAGTTGAAGGGGGGCCTTAGTTTGACTCCCTATATGTCACTTGTGTGTGAGTGTGTGTGTGTGTGCGTGTGAGTGTGTGCATGTTATACACACACACCTCTAGACATATAGGGAGATGTGCACTTCTAGTCGTTATCTGAGTTTAATAAAACATAATATGATCCAATTGCAAAACCTAAACCACCCCACTTCTGGATGTGTACTTAACACAGGAGTCCTGAGAAAAAAAGCTCACGGCACACCCCACTTCCCTCCAGGTCCTACAGGTAAGGCCAATGGCACAGATCCCCACTCCATGCCGACGTGGCTGTTGAAATCCGTAAATCCCAGATGCACACACTGCTACGGTTGGGGGGGGATCCCAACCCTGGAACCCATTTGCTCAGCCCGGCAGATAACATGCACTTCTCTGACCTGGTTTACACTGTAAAAGAAACGGGTCACATTCCCGGGTACTTGGTTTCAGTACCAGGGACCACACTAGCTACTAATCAACTGTCCAGATCAACTCCCAAGAAGTGCAGCTCAGGGCAGAGCCYGTGCCCGGCACACGGGAAGCCCTGGGTTCCATCCTCAGCACTGAAAAAATAAACTCATGATTTTTTTAAAGCATTTTAAGAAGTTCAGTCCACATGAAGGCTCCTTCAGGGAAGAGCCTATGTGTGAATTTGTTGTTGGAACGATTTAGCTCTGCCGTTAGGGCACACAAGTGGCCCTAAATGGGAAATAAACAAGCGTGGCCCTGTGCCAATAAAACTGTGTGCAAAGACGGGGGCAGGAGTCCTGTTCTAGAAGAAGGAACCGACTAGATGTGAATCACATTTACAGCAGGCTGAGGAAGGGGAAGAGAGGTGGACAACGGCCCCAGGCAGGAGAGAGACCAGGGAAAGCCAGGCCCTGGGGGAGGAGGCGCGGGGAGGTTCTGCCTCCAGTAGGAGGGGCCGAGCAGTGTCACCCCAGGGGTGAGCTGAGGTCAAGATAGAGGAGGGGGACTGGGAGGTGAGAGATCACCTCTGAGAGCCACGGGGAGGTGGCAGAGACCTTGCCAGGCAGCTGTAAGGTGAGACAGCAGAGCATCAGGGCCAGCTAGGGCAGGGAGGAGGGGAGGCCAGGGGGCAGGGGTGGGCAACAGGACCCAGGGGGTGCTGAGAGCCGGGAGGCCAAAAAGACAGGGGCTGTGGGCGAATGGAGATGACTGGACAAAGAGGGAGAGAGCCAGGGGCCGTGGGCGCGTCTGCAGACAGTTGGCGGTGCCACCGTTCCTCGCCATGAGTGGGGAAAGGGGGCGCCATCCACATGGGGTGGGTGGAAACAGGGATGCCGCTCCACTCCCTATAGTGCCTGGGACAGACCCCACAACCAAGAATCACCAACCCCCCATGCCAAGGTGAGAAGACCTGCTGGAACCAAATAGGAATGGAGGAGGGGAGGGTGGGTACCCCAGGGGCTCACCCCAATGAGCTCCATGAATGTCAGGGGAAGGGACAGGTCCCCAGGAAAGAAGCAAGCGTCAGGAATAACTGCCAGGAGAGGACCCTCCTAGGGAGGTGGCCTAAGAGCCGCTGGGAAGCCAGGGTGGCACACCTCACCAGCTCACTGGGTCCCCCCTCCCAACGCCCGGCGGGCTCCTATCTTAATTGATCCCACATTGCCTTCCATTTCTGACTCCGMGGTGCTCACGAGCAACCTCAGGCGGGAGCTGGCGATCCAGAGGGAAATGGAGAAGGAGACGAAGACTCCAGGGGAGAAGGAACCGCCGCTGCCCAGGATGCCTCGGGAAAAGCCTTCCTCTCTTSAAAGTCACCTGGTTTCCCTCCACACTCCACCCTATTGGTTGGCAGTGCAGATTAATGATCTGGAAAGTTCCTCGCCCCTCCCCACGCCTCCGAGAGGCATCCCCTCTCATTTATTGGATAGGATTTTGTTAACCATTAAACCCCAAAGCAGAGGTGGGGAGGCTCAGATCCAAAAGAACAACTGTTTGCTAAGAAGCCAGTGCCCGGGAGCCAGCTTAGGGGGGCTCTACCCCAGCTCAGCAGCCTGCTGGCTGGAGGCCTGTGAAGAGGCGAGACCTACCCYACCTCCAGGGGTCGCGGGGAAGCGCATACATATTCCACAGCAGAAGGTGCTCCTTGAATGATCAATATGCCACACACGCCCCGATGGCCCCCCCACCGGTGCCCCACTCACAGGTATTTGCTGCACACCTACTACGCCCCAAGCACTGCTCTAGCTAGAAATGCCAATCACATCAACCCAGGGCCTGGTCCTTGTGGAAATGGTAAATATACGAAGAAGTGGTAAATCCACTGATGATCCCTGAAAGCCCAGGCACAGATCCACGATTACCAAAGCTACAAGGAACAGAAGAGCAGGGAACCACACCTACCTCGCTGCAAAGGCGCACAGGCACACACACAGAGACTGGCCTACTTCTCACAAGTCAGCTTGCACTTTCTTAACAAGAACCCAAACCAACTGCCACCCTTCATGGAGCACCTACTGCATACCAGACCCTTGGGGCTTATAGACATTGTGCAATCGGCAGATCCGCTCAGTCACCAGGGTTGGTCAACTCCGTGGCCACTGMTGCCTCATTGAACTTATTTTCCATCAGGGATTTTAGGAGCCTCAGTTCCCCCACCCCCACCCCTTCCTCTCCATGATTAAATACCTCTTAGGGGGAAATCTGAAGCAGTAACTCAGCAGATATTTTTAAAAAGGACTTCAGACCCCGAGGGGAAAATCCCTAGCTATATTCTCTTACGTGATGCTTCAGTTTTTGTTCCCAAATCAGAAAAGCACCTGCTACCAAGCCCCAAGAGGACATCGGGATTGGGGTTTGCCTCCATCACCACAGTGGGACATCCAGGAGAGACACCAGGAATGCCAGAGCATGAGACTCACTCAAGGTCAAGGACCCCTTCAGCAAGGACAGAACTGAGGGGTGGGAGTGGGTCTGGGAGTCAAAAGACAAGGGACAGAGTAGTCCACAGCCTGGTGGGACAGACCCAGAGATTTAAATCCTCCCTCTACAGCAAAGGAATTTTGCACACAGACTGGGCGCGGGTTTACCGCTCCCTGAAATGGGTGCACAACGGTATCAGCCTCCAGGGGCACAGCCAGCGTCCAGAGAGATAAAATTGAGCAGCCCGGTGGCATATGGTGATACTAATTATAATAATCTTGATGAAAAACGGCCACTACGGCTACTAGAACTGCTGCTGCCAAAGGTTTAGAGTCKCCTCTGAACATCTGGAAGCAGAAGTGTAAACACGGACGGCCCCGGGTCTACAGCCAAGGAACCAGGACGGTGGGTTTCTAAAATTCCCCTCCCAGAGAAGCCAGAAGCGTCACCCCCGAGGGGGGCCCCCTGCGCTCGGGCTCCAAACCAGATGGGCTTGCGTGGGCGCTGGGCTGGCTGTCCCCAGCTATCCCGACCCAGTGACCCCACTCTCCGGAGAGGACCCAGAGAGGACGCGTGTCGCCTCTCCCGAGCTGGCTGGGCTCACAGGGGGCCAGACGCAGTTCAGAAGCGCGCTCCAGAGAGGCGCGGGCTGCAGGGCGGGCACTGGGGCAAGGTTCCTCAGGCCCGGTTCGGGCACACGGGGCACGGAGCCSCGAGCCCAGCGGGCAAAAGCCAAGGTCAGCAGCCTCCCGCCCCCCTGCGGGGCCCGAGCGACGGCCCCGGCCACCCCACCGCCGCCCCCTCTCGTGGGAGGGTTCTCAGTCCCCAGCGGAGGCTCTGTTTGAGTCGGGGGACCCCTCCCCACCGCGGTGCTCCCAGCCCACTCCCGCGCCCCCAGACTCACCCTCTCCAGGGAACAGGTGGCCCGCGGCGCCCACCAGCAGCGCGGCCACGGCCATCAGCAGCGGCGCGGCCGCCGCCCCCCGCCGGCCCCCGGCGCCCATGGCTGCTGGGAGCGCGGGGTCCCCGCGGATCAGAGCGCGCGGAGCCGGCCCGCGGGGGTCATGCTCCGAGGCGGCCGCCGGAGAAGCGCGGGGTGCTACGAGTCCTTCTCTTCCACGTCGGTGGCCTGTCTGCCGCAGCCCCCACTCGAGAGAGGCCCCTGAGACAGCGCCGGGGAGTGCGCGCGGCTTGGGCCGCTACAGAAAGGGTGGCGCGGCGGGGAGGAGGCGGCCCCGATCCCCTAGCCACAGCGGCTCGGGCCCGGTCCCTCGATCTCAGGCCCAGAAGCTCCGAGTTGCGCCCCGGCCTCCTGGATTTCGGCCCCGTGCGCTCTGGACCGCGATCGGCGGGCTCCGGGGCCGAGGGACGTGCGGACAGAGGGGCGCGCAGACAGGCGGGCGGGCACCWGGGCTGGCGGCGGCGGGCGGGCGGCGGGAGCGAGGGCTGCTGGAGCCCGTAAACAACGCGGCCCGTCAGCTGGGCCCCGTCCGGACCGCGGGAAAAGGCGGCGCGGAATTTGCCTGGGAAGGGACTGGGCGCCCGGGAGAGGCCCCGGGGAGGGGCTGGGAGGATCGGCGGAGGGAGGCGAGGCCTGATTCCGCCCCGCCCCGTCTGCCCTCCTCCGGGTGCGGGGCCCCGCGCCCAGCCCAGGGGGCGCCCCAAACAGCCCCGATTCTTCACTCTCAGACCCTGCGGTCTCCCCAGATGCCCAACGCAACCAAACGGATCCCTTCTGTACCGTATCGCTATTTTGTTCATCGTGGCCTTTGGGGAATTCACTTTAATTGTTTGAAATGTTGCATTAAAATATCCTTTATCTGGGTGTCTCGGTTTGGGGGCACTCCTTTAAATTTTGCGGCCTGGGCGAGCAGGATTTCATTCGCCTAGTCTTGGCCCGCCAGCGACRGCCGCGGTCCTAGAGCTACTTGGCGCCCCAGAAGTCCTCCCCGCGGGCGTCCCCGCCCAGCAGCGTGACCCACGCCAGGCTCCTGGGGACAGCCACGTGTCCACAGCCCTGCGTGCTCCTTGTATGCCRTGGCCTGGGTCCCTCGTCGCAACCTAAAGTTTAAATTGAAGAACTAACGGCGGGTGGGGCAGGGGGACATGCCAAAATTCCCCCAAAACAAATGAAGCTTTGGAAAGTGGGCGCGTGGCCACACTCTTCAACAAGCACAGCCGTCCATGTGTCTGAATGTCTAGGAACAACTGGCACGACAATGGTCAACTCCTCTTGCGGCAGGGGAAAGGGCAGGCAGCCCCTCTACCCCTCACTTCCTGTGCAGTCTTGATTTTGCCACCTCGGCTCTGCTCATCCAGCAGGCTGGGTTGGATCCGCCCGCATGCCAGATTTGGTAAGGTGCACAGGAAATACTTGGGAAACTTGGGAAAGCGCCTGACACCACTCTGGACCCAAGGCATCCAATCTTCTCTTTATTAAACAAATAGTTTGCCAGAAGCTGTTCTTCCCACAAGCCTAACCTATTCCTGCCTCAAGGCTTTGACCTTGCCCTTTAACACTTCAACCCAGCTTCACCTTCTCTCCAGTGAGCCCTCCTGACCACGGCTTGCAAATCACCTGCATTTCAGTTCTTCTTTTCCCTTCCCTGGTCCTCTTCATCCTGCTTAGCCTATCTCTGTCTGGAATTATGATTTATCATCCTGTGGATCATCTCCCCTCACCTGCAAGTGTAGAGATCTTGTCAGTCACGTTCAYTACCTTACCACCAACGCCTGACCTATCCGTTGGTTAATAAATATTTGTTGAGTGGAAGAATCAATAAGCAGTAAGTAATAAGGGATTTACAGTAAGCAAAATAAACATGAGCCATTTCCTTGTAGAGCAAACAATAGGGGGATGGCATCAAATAATCCTGTGTGTGATGAGCTGAAGGGGGGCAGGGGAGGACCTGCAGAGGAAGCAAGTCTGAGTTGAAATCTGAAGATGAAGAGGAACCAGCCTGGCAAAGCCTCAGGAAAGAGTTCCAGGTACCAGGAATAGCATTTGCAAAGGCTCAGAGGCGTCCTTGCTACTGAACCAGGCACTGTAGCTGTACAAAGGGAAAAGGAGAAACTCAAGCCATGGGCAGAACTAAAAGATGCAGATCCAGGAATCGACCATATTAACAACTGCTTTCAGTTTCCTTCCCTCCTCCTCCCTTACTCCTCTTCCTCCCCCATGTCTCTCCTCCACCTCCTCCTCCAATTTTCTTTTAACTTCAGTGAAGAATAACAGGATCATTACATAGGCCCTAAGATTCTCTCTGCAAGACACAGTCAGACATCAACTAACAACACAGATATGTTCTGAGAACCTAGTCACCAAGCAATTTTGACCTTGAGCCAACAACAGGGAGTGTATTTGCCAAACTTAGATGGGTCATATACCACACACCTAGACTATCTGGTGGAGCCCGTGGTTCCTGGGCTACGGACCTGTGCAGAATGCTACTGTTCTGAATGCTGCAGGCGATGGTGCCACAACCATAAGCTGTGTATCTAAGCATTGAACAGGTTCAGTCAAAATACTAGGCACTAGGAATTTTTCAGCCCTGTTATAAACTTCTGGGTCGACTGATGTATATTGGATCTGTGGTGGAGCAGAGCACATTATGGGGCACTGTGTGACTGTGCGACTGTACTTGTCAACAACAGAGACCAGGAAACCAGCTCACAGAAGGAGGAGGGTTGCCAGACACCACCTGCATAAGTGACCAAAGTTGATCCTGGATTTTCTTTGGTACTGAAAGACATTACTGAGACCATTAAGATGACCCCAAAATGTCTGTCATTTAGATAATAGCGCGTAGCAGTATTAATTTGGATCATTGGATTAGGATATGTAAGAGAATATCCTGGGTTTTAATAAATAAATACCGTGTTGGGATAAAGAGGTGCAATGTCTGTAACTTACTCGCAAATGATTCAGGGAAAAGCTGAGAGGGTGAACAGAGAGAGAACACAGGGCAGAATGATAAAATGTGATAAAACCTGGTGGAGCGGGTGAAGCGTGTACAAATGAAAACCCATACAGCTTTTCTGAACATCTGATGTCATGCTAAAATTAAAAGTTTAAAAAAATGGTCCGACAAAATATTCGTTTGGGGGCTTTTTGTTTGTTTTGTTTTTGACGGATTGGATTCTTTCTGACATTAAAGTGCTGTGTCCTCTGAATGTGTGTCTAAGGAAGGAGAGACTTTCATAGCCTGTGGATACAGGCAGCCAATTCTTTGCTTCTGTGGTGCTTTGGGAGSGGGGCTTGGGCAACAGGGTCCCCACACTCTGGGCATCTTTCTACGGCAAGCCCCTGTGGTCCGATCTCCCTGGATGGCAGCAGGAGACCAGACGTATCTCCTRATCCCAGTGTTGTTATGGAAACCTGATTTTAAGATGATACATTTGGGAGAGAGGAGGGGGAAATCTGCATGTTGATCTCACTCCTGCTGAGCAGTCACACAAACCCCGGGGTCAAGAGCAGACTCATAATGGTAAATAATATTCTCATAGAACCAGGCGGAAGATTACAGGGATACAACATCCGGATCAAGTAAACACTGGGCCAGGGGTGCGGGGAGGGTTCAGTGGTAGGACTATTCTCAGAGGTCACTGAAGTAGTGATTCGAGGATACAGGACATGTCCACAGCTCCGTGACACTGAAAATGGATTTGATGGACTCCACAGTTGTTTAAAAGTGAAACCTGTAAGACTCCACCACTTGGAAGTTTTACTTTATAATTTCAGAGTAGGGAAGGTTTTCCTAAGGAAGACGTAAATCCCCAACTTACAATTTTAAAATAACAAATATGGCAATGCAAAAACTAAGATTATATAAATAGCTTAAAAAAAAAAACCTCCCGTATCAACTCAAAAGATAGATTTTTTTCAAAGTGAAAATAAAATATGCATTAATTAGAATAAGATATATCCTATGCTTATATAATGTTATCAAAATGGATTCTACTGTCACGTGTAACTAAGAAGAACCAAAAAAATAAAATTCAAAAATTTGTTTAAGTGCAACAAAAGGAGCAGACAAAGGACGTGCATTATATTATGTTGAAGAACAGAAGGCACAGTGATCAGTTTCTTCTGCAAGAAAAAAAGCCAAAATCCTTGTTTATCAAAATTAAAATGGGGGAAAAAAAACATGAATAGGCAGCTCACAGAAACCAACTACAAAAAAATGCAAAAGCATTTAAATATGTAAAATGATGCAGAGTCATCTTCATCATTAAAGATTCGCCGGAGTTCCCAACCTTCAGGAAAACTGGTGGCACTRCACAGAAGCTGTGGGACCACAGGCTCCCCACGTCGCTGGCTTAAATTGCGGTAACCGTGTATTAGGCTGCACTCCTGGGCATGTCAAAAGCAGCATCCACAGAAATATTTATGGCAGCAAAGAATAGCAATAACCTAAATACTCTTTTCCCAAGAAACGTGGAGACCTTCATGTCTTCTCAAAATATCCAATCAATTCAAATATATTTTTAAATTTTCTTTGCTTTGTCTCTTTTCCTTCTTCTCTGACCACTCGTGTATAATTTGCATTGGCAAGTTAGTATAACARTTGTTTGATACTCTTACATTTTCTGCATGGGTTATGTTGTTCTTGTTTTGGAACTTTGGGGATATAAAGACAGGGTATAAATTGGTGAAAGGAGATGAGCATTTTAACTTACAGCATGTGTTGTCTACCTGTTCTGCCCCCTGATGAGTGTATTCCAACATTCCCACAGAGCTCTCTTACTTATTTTTATTTTATTTTTTATTTTATTTTATTTTATTTAGTAAGGGTGTCTCACTATGTTGCCCAAGCTAGCCTTGAACTCCTGGACAGAATCAAGTGATTCTCCTGCCTCAGTCTCCTGAGCAGCTGGGATCACAGGTGCACCACACTGCACCTGGYTTCTCTGCTTCTTAAAATCTCCGCTTCTGGCTCTTTTGAAATCCACTGGGGTTTTGCTTCCCTTCAATTTTTGTATTGTGCTAAAATACATATAATGTAGAATTGTTCTTGTGGTGGTGRTGGGTTTGTTTTGCTTTGCTTGTTTATTTTTGCAGCACTGGGGGCGGGGACCAGAGCTCTGAGCTTGCTGAGCATGTGAGCCAATGCTGTGCTCCAGTTTGCCCTTCCAAGCATGTTACAGTGTGCAGGCGAGTGGCCTTCCCACCCACAACACCCTGCACTGTGCCCTGCCTCCTTTCAAAGGCTTCCCATCACCCAGCCCAAGCCTGTGCCCACAGTGTCCCYGCTCCTCCCTTCCTCTCCCCTGCGCCTCCCACCCCCTTTGGGCTACTCTCTGTCACTACTCTCTGTTCACCTGTTGTGGATGTTTCCTATGGTGCGCTCCTAGCACCCATGAGCTTCTTGTGACCGGCTACTTTCTTTTAGCATGATGGGTTTGAGGTCCATTCTCGTGCCTTGTAGTGCTTCTTGCTTTTGTGGTTGAATGAAATTCCATGTCCCTTGGGTTTTGAAC